TTTATTAAAAATTTTGAAAATAATTGAATTCCTGAGAAGAATTTAAATAATAATTTATGAAAATAATTGAATTCATGCGAAGAATTTTATTAAATTTTGTTTAAATAATTGAAATGTTGACAAGAATTTTATAAAAATTTTTGACAATAATAATTTAACTCTTGAGAAGAATTTCGCTATCCATTTATAGAGATAATTTAATTCTTGTACTGAATTTTAAAAAAAATTTGATAAAATATTTGATAAAGTTCTTTTGAAAATTTTCAAATTCATTTTATTACAATTCAATTTTACGAAATTTCGATTATTTAGAAATTTTTCAATTAAATATACATTAGAAAATAAAAGTTTGAAATAATTTTTAAAAATTTCGATTAATCTTTTTGAAAAAATTGTAGTTCCATAGAATTTTTAATTAAAAGTATGAAAAATTCAGATTTTCAAAGATTTCAATTTGAAACCTTTATTTAAATACAAATATAGATAATTATTAAATAATTGAATGTTTCTTAAAATTCAATTCTTCTTATACAGAATTTTATCAGCAAATTTTTCAATAATTGAATTCTTTCGACAAATTTTAATAACATTTTTAAAAATAATTACATTTTTCGAGAAATTCGATTAAAATTGTATTAAAAATAATTGAAATTTTGCAACGAGTTTTATTATTTATGCGAAAATAATTTAATTATTGCGAAGAAATTTATAAATAAGTTTCAAAAAATTGGAATATTATCAAGATTTTTGTTTAATAATATTGAATTCTTTTGGAAAAATTTATTAAAATACTAGAATATTGAATATTATTGAATTAAGAAAAATTTTTGAAAATAATTCAAATTTTGCCACGAATTTTATTAAAATTTTTGAAAATAATTGGATTTTATTACTTTTGAAAATAATTGAATTATTCTTGTCACGAATACTATTATTTATGAAAATAATTGAATTTTACAATGAATTTTATTAAAATTCCTGAAAATAATTGAATTTTGTCGAGGAATTTTGCTATTCATTCATAATTGAAATATTGACAATTTTTTTTAGATTTTTTAAAAATAATTGAATTTCTGCGAAGAAAGTTATTAATTTTGAAAATAATTGAATTCTTGAGATAAATATTGTTATTTATGAAAATAATTGAATTTTACAATGAATTTTATAAAAATTCCTAAATATAATTGAATTTCGGCTACGAATTTTGCTATTTATAAAGATAATTAAAATGTTGACGAGAATTTATTTTTTAAATTTTTGAAAATAATTGAATTTCTTGAAAGAATTTTAAATATTTATAAAGATACCTAGTTGAATTCTTACGAAAAATTGTATTAAAATTTTTTAAATTGAAACTAATTTCAACAGAATTGAAATTAAAATTTTTCAAAAAAAAATACTTCATTAAATGATTTATAAGAAATAACTTTGTCATTTCTTCAATAGAATTAAGTTATTTATAATAAATTATTGTCAGGAATAGAAGAAATTTAAGGTTTTTTCAGAAATTTAGAATTCTCTTATAAATTCTATACACGGAGAGAGAATATATATTAAATTTTGTAAAAGTATTTTACAAATTGGAGAAAAAGTGCGACAAAGCGAAATTTTAATATAAAAAACACTAAACTATAACCCTTCATTTATATTTTCTAAAATCATTCAGGCATTTGCCGAATTACAAAAATTAGAAAAATTACTTTTGTACAAAACTACAAAAATGCCAAAAGTTAAAAACTTTTGATTCGTTTTTGGCTTAATTTGATATCCTTATAGAAAAACTGTGGTCTATGCTAACTTCGGGGACTTTATTTCAACTCTTATAAAAATAATATAGGTTTGGACGTAATTAATGATAAAAAACAACGCAGAAGTAATATTTTTGGAAAAATATTTACGAATCTGGTATGATAATGTTATGTTTGATTTCTCATTGTCTGAAAACTAAATGTCATCAACGATGTGACACGGAATTTGATATGCAAATGAGATGGTTGGCTACTTAATGAATATTTACATATAGCCATTTAGATGTGAAAGGTATCAATGGGTGGCATCAATTAAACGTATAATTTTCGAATTAGCGTAAGCAGATTGCTCTACACTTTAACATACAATATCGAATCGAAAACGTGTCAGAAAACTTCATTTTCGCCAACTTCATTAAAGTTCAACAAAATTGTCGAAAAATAAGAACAGGAAAAAAGTATTCCTTTCACGCAAATTTTAAATTCAGTACAGTATTTAAAAAAAATAAATGAATAAAATTCAACTAAAAAAGAATTTTAATTTCAAGGTTTTTAAATTTTACTATAATAGATAGTTCCAAAATTTAGAAAAAAATCCCTAGTCTTTTTACAACATAACAGTAGTCCATTCCTAACACTTGTTTCTTTACTTTAAAAATTTCATTTTCTCTTTCTGTTTCTCTTTTTACATTTCATCACCCCTTTCATTTCTCATAACTTCATTACAGGTAATCGTTTCTTTATGCCCTGGAACCAACCGACAGTAGCATGTAAAAAACGCAGAAAAAGAAAAATTCAAACAAGCCTCTGTCCCACCATGTGAATCATTCCTCCAACTGTATGTACATAACTGATATACATGCGTTACGTATATATAATACAAATATATTACACATACGGGGAGTTACGACTAATCGTCGTGAAACCTATAGAAGAAGATTAAATTCCCTTTTGTATAATACCGACGGCGGAACTCAGAATTGAAAGAGTACCATAAAAAAAGTGATAATTTAGTTCCGGCTCTTTTATTATAAAGAGAATAATTGTTTTTTTATTTACGTCATTATTCTCGAATAAATTATTATTAATGTTTTAATTAAATACAGTAAATAGTGGAATTTATCGTCGAATCTTAAATTCTCAATACAATGAAAGAGAGAAAATAAAAATTATAAAATTTCCCACACGCCTTCAATTATTTAGCAATAAACAACAAATAATGCCTTTAGTGAAGTTCACAACGTTGATAATCAATTTCATAATTAAAAATAATTCTTTTTTGCCCCCACTTATTCTTTCAAAATTTTATGTTGGCTTTAAAAAAAAATTTTTATCTTTAAAATTAAATTTCCAAAATTAAGTGGGTGCTAGTTTCAGCATCATCGTTCAACTATTTTTTAACTAAAAATTTGTTAAATAAGAAAATTATAAACAGTTCATAAATAAATTTTTGTTAAAATGAAAAAAAATACAAAAATTTATTATTTTCTTCATGAATAGTTAGGTACAAATTTCTTTTCAATCATTGATTATAAAAAAAATTGTGCACTTCATTGACGTAAATAAATAATCAAATTTTGTATTTAAAAGTAGATTGGAAAAATGTCCATAAAAATTTTAAAGTCCCTTTCAATTTTAAATATTTATCTAAATGTAAGATTTACATTGACGTTTAAAAGCTTTCAACTCCTATGAATATTAATAAACAATTTCAATATTGAATGCTGAAAAAAATTTTTGGAAAATTTAATTAATTATTAACATTAATAACCATAATAATTTTTTCAATTTAATGAAATAATAAAATTGTATTAAATATTTTTAAACGTTTTTAAATATTAGATTAATTTAAACCAAAATTAAAATTTTTCATGAATTTAAATTATTAAATGTTTCTTTTAATATTGGTTGGTTGGTTTTGTTATTTTAATATTAAAAATTAATTTTAAACTGTCTGTATATTTGCAATGAACGAAATACTTTTTCAATATAAATATTTTCAAAAATTTCTGTCTGGATTAAAAAACAGCAGAAATGAAACATTTTGGAACTTTATCAATTATTAATTTTTAAAACTTGTAAATAATAAAAGAAGTGTTTTTTATTTATTATAATTATAAATTTGATGAAATTTAAATTTAAAAGTTATGAAAGTGGATATTTTTATTAACGAAAAATTATTTCAAAATTATTTCAATTAAAATTAGAAATTAATAGATTTTTAAATTGAAAAATTAAAAATATCAAATTTATATTTAATAAAATTTCAATTGAAAATTGCATTTTTTAATTACAAATAAATAAATTTCAGAGATCCCATGTTGAAAAACAGTTTAAATTTATAAAAAATTAATTTATTTGTAACTAAAAAATTTCATCTTCAATTTTAATTTTATTAAATTTAAATATGAATTTAATAAAAATTTGTATTTTCAATTGAATTCATTTTTTGTCAATAAAAAAATCCATTTCGATTAGCCTAAAGTTCTGAACGTTAAAAAAACGAAATTTACATACTTCATCTTAAAGTTTTTAATCTTATTACATTAATATTGCTTCAAGTTAATTTTATTTATATTTTATTAATTTTAAATTTGAATTTTCCAAAATTAATAATTTATTGACGATTTTTTTTATAGTTTATAAGTTTTATTTATAATTACTATAATAAATAATAGAAAACTCTTTAATATTAATAAGTTTTATAAATTAATAATTTCTGTCGCTTAAGTTTTGAACATTCAAATAAATGAAAATATTTTTTTTTCATTTGTATTTTGTTAAAAAAATATTATTTTGCATATTAAAAAAAATTAATTCGGAAAGAATTAAATTACGAATTAACGTTCCTTTTCAATTCAATATCGCAAATTTTTAAAAATATTTTAATAAAAGAAACAATATTCTTTTATTTTGAATATTTAAAGTTTTTGTAAAATATAAATTTGAAAAGTTCAAAAATGTTCAATTCACGTTTTTGATTATGTAATATACAACCCATAATTTTTAAAAATATTTTTGTCAACAAAAAATTCGTCTATTTAAACGTTCCAAGTCCAAATTTTTTAAATTAAAAAATTTAAATTTAGATTAAAAATTTTTTTTTTAATTTAAATTTACCAAAAGAAAAATTTAATCTTATTCATAAGAGTGGAACTTCATATATTAAAGATGTAAATTTAAAAAAAAAATACTAAAGATTCACTTACAAAAAAAAAAAATTAATGAAATTTCCAGAAAGAAGAATATTACCAAAAATTTGAAAATCCTTCAGCGATAAATTCCACACGAAACACAAGGCACAATTGCGCAATAATTCACCATCATTTTTTAACAAGCTCCCTCTCAATATTCGACAAGCACTATGGGTTGAAAAAAAATTTCTCCATTCATGAAATATTCCCTTCTCTTGCGTATAGTACTCTATCCCGTAGACGTTTTACTGTCAGAAGCACGTGCCAAGGCGCTCAACTAAATTCAATTTTCCACTCTTACACTATCGACGACAATGTCAGTGAATTCGACACACAATTGCACACAGTTGTTGACACCTTGAGAAATAAATGCTCACTTTCATATCACAATTCCCAAGGAAAACAAAATCCTAGTCAAATATTATCCCCCTCCTCCTCCCCCACTCAATTTAATCTCATCAAAAAACCACTTTTTTATTCTAAAAAAAAAAACTCACTTTCTATTAATAAAAGCACTGCCGTCTTGAAACACTTGAATTTTGAAAATTTATTTCAAAAATTTTTTCCGAAAAGAGGAAAACAATTAAATTTTCTCAAGGGGTGAGAATAAACAAAAATTGTCCAAAGGTGAAAAAATATTGAGAGAGAAAAACTTGAAGTTGTACTTCCGAGAGTTCCTTCCGGCGGAACTTGGCGAAAGGACCACGAGGATTCCGAAGGTGGGGGTAGGAAGAGAATGAGAAAATAGAAAAAAAGGAAAAACGACGAAAAGGAGAAAAATAAAAATAAAAGGGAATATCAGCACTAAGGAATAGGCGATTGATAAGAAAAGAGAGGAATTAAGGTCGAAGGGTACCAATGATCTAATTCAACAAAAGGTATCTGGGAGACTGCCGAAGAAGTGGAGCGTGGATTGTCCGACCAGGTTAAAACGCAGTCAGAGGAAGACTTGAAGTGATCAGGGGCAAGAGGCCCAAAGGAAGGTCGAGTAGGAGGCAAGCAGGAGTAGGAGGAACGAAAGAGAAAGAGAGAAAGAGAAAAAAAAACGACGAGATGAGATGAAGAGATATGGAGAGAAGAGAGCTTGCAATGAGAAAGAAGCCGGAAGACAGTGACCGCACACAAAAAAAGTAACACTGACAAATTCTTTGTAACCTTAGTAGATCGCCATCTGGGTTCGAGATTAAGAGCTTGATTTTACAAAAGTAATGAAGCTCATTATGAAACTCCAAAGTTGGACAATAAAAAATTCTTTAACAAGACTAAAGAAATATGAAAATATAACTTCGTTTTGTCAAATAAAAAAAAAAGAGAGAGAGAGAGAGAGAGAGAGAGAGAAATATGAAACATTGAGAAAAGAAAATATGAAATATCGAAAAGAAGAAATGTGAAATATCAAAAAGAAGAAATATAAAATAGCCAGGGCTCGAACCAGTGAACGTATTTATAAATATGGACTTTACGGACCAAAAACGAAAAATTACGGACAATTTACGGACCGTACTGACAAAAATATAATCAATCCGAGTCAAATAAGAAAACATTTTACTTAAAACTACAAATTAAAATTTTTCATAACTATAAAACATGAACATATCGATAACTCCGAGTCTTCGACTCGGAGTCATCGGTTTCTTCATGTTTTATAATAATTAAAGATGGCCCAGTGATAAAATCATTATTATTTTATATTATAAAAATATTGTACTTCTTTAAAATTATTTCCATCATTTCAATTCAATTATTATTTTCAAGAATTTTTAATTAAGATGCATCTTTAAATCGATTATTTTTAATAATTTTCGAAAAAGTTCTGCGACAATTTTCAAATCCATTATTTTCAATAATTTTTGAAAAAGTTCTTATTGAGAATTTTCAAATTCATTTCTTTATATTTCAATTTTACAAAATTTCTATTATTCGGAAATTCTTCAATTAAATATAATTATATTAGAAAATAAAAACTTCAAATAATTTTTAAAAAATTCGCAATTGAACTTATGCAAAAAAATTAATTCCACAGAATTGTTAGTTAAAAATTTGAAAGATTCAAATTTTCAAGGATTTTAATTTGAAACATTTTCAAAATTCAACTATTTCTAAAAAAGTAAAAACAATCATGCTATAATGCTTTTAATATTCAATTATAATCTAATATTTTAACTGAAAATCATTTTTAAATTAATTTTAATTAGAAAATTCTACTAGAAGTCTATTTTTTTTATCAACAAATTTTTAAATAATTCAATTCTTTTGACGAATTTTAATAACATTTTTCAAGAATAATTACATTTTTAGTGGAATTCAATTAAAATTGTATAAAAAATAATTGAAATTCTGCGATGAGTTTTATTTTTTAGAAAAATAATTGAATTTCTAAAACGAATTTTACTATTTACGAGAATAATTGAATTTTTTGCGAATAATTGAACTATTAAATTGTATTAAAAATAATTGAAATTCTGCGATGAGTTTTATTATTTATGATAATAATTGAATTCCTAAAAAGAATGTTATTATTTATGAAAATAATTGAATTATTGCGAAGAAATTTCTAAAAAAAATTGTAAATAATTGAATTTCTGTGAAATTTTTATGAAAATGATTAAATGCTTGCGTAGAATTTTATCAAAATTTCTATTAATCAATTGAATTCTTTTGGAAAATTTTGAAAATAATTGAAATTTTGCCAAGAATTTAATTTAAATTTTTGAAAATAATTGAATTTTGGAGAAGAATTTTTTTTTATTTATAAAGATATTTGTCCCGTATATTTCTTAAATAATGCTTTAAATATTCAATTATAATTTAACATTTTAACTAAAATTCATTTTTAAATTAATTCTTATTAGAAAATTCTACTAGAATTCAATTATGTATTTAAATACAAAAAAAATGTATTAAAAAAAAATGAAATTCCACGATGAGTTTTATTATTTATGAAAATAATTGAATAATTGCGAAGGAATTTATAAAGAATTTGCAAATAATTGAATTCCTGTAAAATTTTTATTATTTTATGGAAATAATTAAATGTTTATAATTTTAGTTAAATAATTGAATTCTTTTAAAAAATTTTATTAAAATAGATATTGAAAAACATTGAATTGAGAAAAATTTTTGAAAATAATTGGATTTTCTTAAGAATTGTATTAAAATTTTTGAAAATAATTGAATTTCGGGAAAGAATTTTATTATTAATAAAGATAATTGAAATTTTGACGAGAATTTTTAAAAATTTTTAAACTTAATTGAATTTTTGCTTGAGAATTTTATTACTTTTGAAAATTATTAGAATTTCTGCCCGGAAATTTATTAAAATTTTTGAAAATAATTGAATTTTGAAGAAAAATTTTATTACGTTTGAAAACAATTGAAATTTTTCAGAGAATTTTTTAAAATTTTGTACATAATTAAATTTTTGGAAAGACTTTTATTATTCTTGCAAAAAATTTAATTTTTACAACCATTTGTAACTTTTTTTCAAAATTCAATTTTTTTTTTAGTGTTTTTAACTAAAATGCATTTTTAAATCAATTTTTAAATTTTTATTTAAAAATTCTGCTAGGATTCAATTATTTAAATAAAAAAAATAAATACTTTATTCAAGAATTGAATGTTTCTCAAAATTGAATTCTCATTAAGAATTTTATCAAGAAATTTTTAAATATTTGAATTGTTTCGACGAATTTTAAAAAAAAATTTTAAGGAAAAGTACATTTTTCGAGGAATTTGATTAAAATTGTATTAAAAATAATTGAAATTTTGCAATGAGTTTGTGCAGAATTTTATCAACATTTTTTTTTTTAAATAATTCAATTCTTTTGGAAAAATTTGGATAATAATTGTATTTTCCGAAGAATTGTATTAAATTTTTGAAAATAATTGAATTTTGGAGAAGAATTTTTTTATTAATAAAGATAATTGAAATTTTGACGAAAATTTAAAAAAAATTTTGCAAAATTGAATTTCTGCAATCATTTGTAACTTCTCCAAAATTCTCCAAATTATATCGTACAATTTATGAACTTTTCGTCCTTTTTCAATAAAATTACGGACTTTACGGACCTTTTTTCAAAAAAAACTGATTTTTACGGACTTCAAGCAAGTTTACGGACCTTTACGGAATGTACGGACTCAGTTCGAGCCCTGAATAGCGAAAAGAAGAAATATAAAATATTGAAAAGAAGAAATATGTGAAGAAATGTGTAAAAAGAAGAAATATATATATATATACATAGCGATTACGATGTACTTTGCATTCTAAAGCCCGATTTCGATTCACTTGTCTCGCTAAAGGTTCTCTTAATCTATTTTCGCGGTCCTGATCCATCGCTTCTGTTTCAGTCGCTGCAACAACTTTCATTCTGTCTGAGAGGCCTTGTATTATGGTAAACGAGACAGTCAGTCAGGAATGTTCCCCTATATCTTTTTTTCTTATGTTTCTTCTACGACACCACTATTTCTTCGACGACATCGTCTTCTTTTTATTATTCTTCTTTGTCCAGTTCTTTTATAGATAATATCAAAAGCAAGTCCCATTTTATTCTATACACTAATCCATCGATTGAAAATTAGCTTCTACTTTTCTTTTTTTTTCCGAAAAAAAATTTAACTGATTGACACTTTGATAGCTTTTATTTTCACTTTTATTTTGCCGAATTTTTATTTCCACTCTCACTCTAAATTTTATATTTTTATTTTTTATTTTTTTTCACTTTTACTTTAATAGATTTTCATTTTTACTTTTAATTTTTTAACTTTAACTTTGACTTTGATTTTGAAAGTCAAAAAATTTTTATAATAAACAAAGAATTTCATTTTTATTCATGCGAAAAATATAAATTTTTTTTTCCAACCATTTGATTATAAACTTTATGATAACTTCATCAACCCATACATTCATTGTCATACAAATAATAAACAACAATTTAAAAAAAATAAAATTGTCAAACAAAAAATAAAAAATTCTTTATATAATTAAAAGTAATATTTTTAAATTTTGAATCTTTTTCATTGATAAATATACTGCAAAAAAAATATTTAAAAAAAAAGAATTTAATTGTTGTTAACTTTATATACCGCATCATATATGAAACTTCGCGCAGTGTAATTAAATAACGAATTTCCATACAACATATATAATGCGAGATTCCGAGTACAGAAGGTATATGGGGGGTGTGGGTGTAAAAAGCTTGGCGAGCTCTCAATTACGAAGGAACACACTCGGGATTTCGTTCAAACGAAACGCGTTCGTTCAATCGAAACACAAACGTTTGTTTTGGCGTGACTCGGTTCATTTAACACTGGCAAAGCAATTTACTCGAAGCGCCGCGAAGAGCATCAATTAACGTTCACAAAAAAATAATTATTACAAATCACTTCCGTCTTTATTCTCCCTTTTAAAATACAACACTTTCCGTACGCAAAATGAACTTTATACGCATGTTTGTGAATAGGAAACACGTTCATGAAACATTTATTTCAACCAAAACCGCAACTCATTGTATATATATATATGTGTGACGCTCTGTGGTGGGCAAATGGAATTTATCTCCTAAAAAACTTCTAGATTATGTTTAATGATCGTTTTACTTTTATTAGTGGAGATTTTTTCAATTTTATTAAATAAAAAAAATTTTTTTTTAATATTTTGAATGTAATAAGGACAGGGCTCGAACCAGTGAAAGTATTTAAAAATACGGACCAAAAATGAAAAATTAAGGACCAATTACTGACAAAAAATATAATCACTCCGAGTCAAATAAGAAAATATTTTTCTTAAAACTTCAAATTAAAATGTTTCATAACTATAAAACATGAACATATTGATAACTCCGAGTCTTCGACTCGGAGTGATCGATTGCTTCATGTTTTATAATAATTAAAGATGGCCCAGTGATTAAATCATTATTATTTTATATTATAAAAATATTGTACTTCTTCAAAATTATTTCCATCATTTTAATTCAATTATTATTTTCAAGAATTTTTAATTAAAATGCTTCTTTAAATCGATTATTTTTTAATAATTTTCGAAAAAGTTCTTTGGCAATTTTCAAATTCATTACATACTTTATAATTCAATTTTACGAAATTTCAATTATTCG